TCATCTTACTCAGTCTACCCACACAACAGTATATAGAGGAGACGTGGGGGGTATAGCTCAATGGTAGAGTACTGTCTTACATGCCCAAGACCCTAGGTTCAACCTCCTACACTTAAACAAAAATTATATGTGAGAGTTTAATACACTAAACTAATACATTAAATAGGCCAGCAAATATACTTCCCTATGTACCTGAGAAGATTAAGTTTCAAGTGAATGAGACCTAACTACTTAACCTGAACATGTGGTACAGGCAGGTGTGTTGTCCGACAGTAAAATACATTAAGTGGAATTTAAGAATGCATTCTCCTGAGATATAGGACACTCCTTTGTATCCCTGGATTATGGCAGCTGGAAGTTTTCACTGGTCCCTGGCCTCCTTGAGCAGGCAAGTGGGCCTTGTCTTTGTTGTTTGTTCCCTGAGTAGCACGGTCCCTGGCCTACAGTTACAGAAAAGAGCTCAGCATTTCTTTCTCACCTGCAGTTACCGGCGCTAACCATGGATGGATGAAAAATTGTGTGCTATGTGCTCCTGATTCAACATCTTCTTCTGGCACACTCATCTCTGGCAGACACAATTCCAGGATCAGAAGCACAGGTGAGGGAAGGGAAGTAACACGGATGTAGGAGGGCTGTGATTTCTCCTGTGGGCTTTCTCTAGTTATTCTTCAAGTAATAGATTTTTTCCCCCTCCTTTATGTTACAGTTGTAGTTTGCTTTAGCAACCAGTCTGTTTTTTTTTTTTTTCTTAGCAGTTTAAACGATACAGGGACAGCTGTCACATCAGGTATGTCACAAGTGGCTTGGTCAACTGAGGTTGAACAGGTGTACCATGTGTTCAGGATCTAAGACCACTCAAAGTTGAAAGCAAATTGGAGCTCTCAGGCCAACCTTGCAGCCTAGGAACTTTGGGATGGGATGACTTAGTTTTCCATTGTCCCAGGGCTGAGGTATGTGCTGTGTTAAGGCATTTGGGGCAGGATGAATTGTGGTTTTTTATAAGAATAAAGAGCAAGCAGGTAGATGTCTCTCTGCTCAGGGAAACCAGGCCTGGGGAAACCAGGGCCAAGTTCACTGTGAACTCAGGCAGTGAAAGTGGCAGGCAGAGACTTTACTCTTAGAAGTCTTCCAGGCCAGACTCACTCCAGGAAGCAGGAGATGTATTGGAACACAGTGGCTCACATTTTTCTCCATTAACCACTGATGACTTTAAAAGGAGAGAAGAAAACTCCATCTTTATCAACATAGTGCCATAAAACCCAAGATTATGTCCAAACTTTTCATTGGGGTACCTATTATTAATTCAACATGATTAAATAACTAAATAACAAGTACCTGGTTAAAAAAAGTTCCCTCCTGGGGCTGGGAAGGTGGCTCAGTGATAGAGCACTTGCCTTGCATGCATGAGGCCCTGGGTTTGATTACTCAGCACCACATAGCAGAAAAAAAAAAGCTGGAAGTTGTACTGTGGCTCAAGTGGTAGCGTGCTAGCCGTGAGCTGAAGAGTTGAGGGACAGTGCCCAGGCCCAGAGTTTAGGCCCCATGACTGGTAAAAACAAAACAAAACGAAAGTTCCCTCCTTATCTTTAAATGTGGGTAAAATCTCATTTAGAAGGAAGGTTTGGAATGATGTGTAAAAATGTAGCACACATAAAAACATAAAAAAACTCTAAATACAAAAAATTGAAGTGATTATATTCTTACTGATACATATATATTTTTGTCGGTTGTGGGTCTTGAACTCTTGGCCTAGGTGCTGTCCTTCAGCTCTTCAGCTCAAGGCTAGTGCTCTACCACTTAAGCTATAGCAGCACTTCCAGTTTTCTGGTAATTGGAATCTTGCGGACTTTCCTGCCTGGGCTGGCTTTGAACCTCGATCCTCAGATCTCAGCCTCCTGAGTAGCTAGGATTACAACTGGCACCTGGCTAATTCTTACTGATATTAATGTAACACAAAATTACAATGAAAAGTCAGCACAGAGTGAAATTTATTTCTTATTGACACAATGAAGCAATTGATCCTCAAATGGTAGACTACAGTATGGAATTTTTTTTTTTTTTTGTCCGTCCTGGGGCTTAAACTCTGGGCTTGGGCGCTGTCCTTCAGCTCTTCAGCTCAAGGCAAGCACTCTACCGCTGGAGCCACAGCGCCACTTCCGGTTTTCTAGTGGTTTATTGGAGATAAGAGTCATACGGACTTTCCTGCCTGGGCTGGCTTTGAACCAAGATCCTCAGATCTCAGCCTCCTGACTAGTTAGGATTACAGGTGTGAGCCATAGGTACCTGGCTTACAGTATGGAATTCTTTTTTTTTTTTTTTTTG